CCAGGCATAGCGCTAGCTGCTGAGTTGGAACACGGTAAACATTTGTGGACGGGTTTGGCGAACTCTGCATGGTTCCTGCCATGGCACAGTGACTGCATTTTGTTTTTAGTCACCTCACATGTACTGATTTCGATCAACCATGTCCACTACCTTTTTAAAAAAATACAGATACTAAAAAAGGATTCCAGTAGTTGTTAAGGTGGTACCTTTCATTTGCTGTATTCTTCCTTTAGATAGACATTCTCTAGGTTGCAGGATTAAATTGTCTAAGGTGGGACGATATTCTCAGATAAGAACTGGTGTAAAATAGTGGAGCACAGGTTTCCTGAGTGTGGGGCGCTGGGATTGAATCCGGGCTTCAACACTATCTGTGTAGCCTTGGACAGGTTATTCAGACCATAGAAACTCTATGGTCATCAGTTTCCCCATCTCTATCATGGGAGTAATGGTGGTTCCTACCATAAAGTTGTTACAGTGGTAAATGGAAAGATGCAGGTATAGAGGTTAAGCCAGTGCCTGGAACATGGGAAGAACTTAACAAATTATTAGCCATTACTTAACAAGTAACTTGGGAAGTTAATAGCTACTACTAGTATTCATGACTGTTCTGAACTGTGGTCAAGTAATATGCCCATGGGATAAAGTTTAGAATAAGCCAAAAGAATGAAAAATGTCTTCATCTCAGGACAAGGGCACTCTGAGTGATGATTTCCATTAATGTGGCTGTCACGGCATCTAAATGAATTCAGAAGGACTGGTATGTTTAGCAAAGAGGGCTGAAGGCTAACTCATAAGTAGTGCAAGATCCTGATGGTCGAGTAATTTCTTTGCTTGGTGTAATGTACATCTCGCATGGAGCCTGGCACGTAGTAGGTCCTCAATAAATGATAGCTATCAGTTTGGTTATTTCCGGTTCCTGGGATGTATTTGCAGACTTAGGGAGAGTATGCATCATTTCGTTTCCAAGGCTGGACTGTCTGTACAGTATGTTTTGGTTCTATCAAGGTCCATGTTTGGAGAGTGTATCTGCCACAATGGTGCAGTATGACAGATCAACCTGAAACTCAATGACTGGAAAGAACAAGCATATATTTTCTCCATGTGTGAAGGTTGGCTAGGGGTTGGCTGATCTAGGCTGGGTTTAGCTTCAAGCTGCAGATTGGATGGGGTCTGCGCCGACTGTCTCTCATTCTCCTTGGACCAGCAGGCTACCTGGGGCACATTCTTCTTGTGCTGATGGCAAAAGCACGAGAGGTCCTGCTCAATCACGCAGCCACATTTCAAGCTTCTCTTATGTCCTAACTGCTAATGGGCAAGCCCAAGTTCAAGGGATGAGGAAGCACGCTTGGCAAAGAAATGCAAAATCACAGGAACAAAGGGTGTGGATCTAGGGAGTGGTGAAAACGAGGGCCACTTATTCAACCTACCCAGTTCCCCAATTGACTTCCTCCATGTAGTCATCGCAGTAGATGATATGAAAGGGCTTTCCTTGCTTTAGGTGGTTCCCTGGTTCCCAGTCCCCACATTAAGATTCTAAAAGCACTCCACTGTAGCATCCAAGCACGTTGCAGGTTCCCCTTTGGTCTCTGGGAGCCTTTCCTCTGACAGACAGGAGTTTACTGTAAACCAAAGAGTCCCAATTTAGACAGACAGGATGGATTAGGCAGACAGCATCAATGACCTGGTTCCACTTCGTTAGCCTTTCCAATTAAGGAGGATGTTACTGAAAGTGAGACCTCACAGAGGTGCTGTCCTACCTTGAATCCTCTGCACTGAGCCTCCGTAGGGAGAGTCTTATATTTCAAATGTGCACAGAGGAGGGGAACACAGCTTTCTTGGCAAGTGAATCCCAAGTGTCAATGACATGGCCATTTGTGAGTTACTTTGTCTTCTTCTTGGCTAGGTGATTAACATGCTAAATAGATAGCATTTTTGCTTTTGTTTTTCAGAAGCTTTTTAATGAATATTAGTCCCCTGACCCTGAGCCCAGAGGGTCTTCCTCTCCGTTGGAACACCAAGTAAGGAGTTGGTGCGACACTGTATCCAAGGATCAGGCTCTGGGTCTTGTCAACACAGTTGTCAGAGGTTCCCTGTGGTTTCCCAGGAAGGTTTTTTCCAGTGGAGTTGTTCATAGGGGTTCAGGATGGCATTCTCCCCTCTCCACCCCACCCCACCCAGTGGGATTCTGAGCAGTGAAGAGTAATCCCCAAACAATAGCCGAATGGGCTGTGAAGTACAGCTTAATTAATCTGGGCACGCACCCAACACCCTGTGCAATGCTTTGCAAAGACCTGGCTTTAAAAATGAGGCTAATGTCTGAGTCTGAGAAGCAGCTTCTTCTCTTCTAGTCAAAATCTGGATGGTAGGATCTGAATAAGGAGAGGGACAGGGCTTCCCTGGTGGCGCAGTGGTTGAGAGTCCGCCTGCTGGTGCAGGGGACATGGGTTCGTGCCCCGCTCCGGGAAGATCCCACATGCCGCAGAGCGGCTGGGCCCGTGAGCCATGGCCACTGAGCCTGCACGTCCGGAGCCTGTGCTCCGCAACGGGAGAGGCCACAACAGTGAGAGGCCCGCGTACCGCAAAAAAAAAAAAAGAGGGACAGACAGACACACGGAGACTGAGCTGAAGCACAGACTTGCCTGCTGTCACTCACTGAACAGCACGGTGGGATCTGACCCACACTGCCCGGCACAGACCAGGATGATGGCCTTGCCTCCTGGCAACTAGCATGGGCCCTGCCCAGCATGCTTGCCTGACACAGGGAAACTGGGAGTACAGGGTCCACTCTCCCTGCATACGAGTGATACAGGAGCTGGCTGGGGGGCTTCGTGAGAGATGCTAAAATAATGAACCTCACTTGAAAAAAAGTGGTTCAGTGAAGGTTCTTCCCCGTCATAGTTGTTACTGCTTTCCCCTTGAGAAGGAGCTAGTAAGGGTTTGAAGACAGAGGCCTGCAGTATTTCTCTTAAGACTTCTCCAAGTTCCTTTATGGGCCAAGGCTGCAACGTGGGAGAGAAAATGCCCCTCAGTCTCTTCCTGAGTACGAGGAATATTCAGTGCCAGGGTGGAATGTGAAAATTAGAGTGAGACGTTCTCTTGGCAACAGTCTTTGAGCTGCACCGTTGGAGAAGTGCTGGGAATTAGAACAGGAATCAGGAGAGAGCATTCCCTCGTCTTGAAGGAAAAGTCAGTACAGACCAGAACGCAAAATGATCCTGGGGTCAGGACTCCACGCTCATCACAATTAGGTACCAAAGAGAAATGAACAAGAAATGAGTGACAGTGCACCTGGGGTAGGGGTTTAAGATGTTCCGCTTTCTCTACACTTCCTTCTTTTAAAGTTGTGGAAAGAACACTTCACATGAAATCTACCCTCTGGGCAAAATTTTCAGTGTACAATATAGTTTGTTAACTCTAGGCTCTGTGTCGAACAGCAGCTCTCTGGAGCTTATTCATCTAGTGTGAACAAAATTTTGTACCCGATAAATAGCACCTCCCCATTTCCCTCTCCCTCCGGCCCCTGCCAACCACCCTTCTACTCTCTGCGTCTATAAGAGTTTATTTTAGGTTCTTCATATAAGTGGAGTCATGAAATCTGTACTCTCATGTTTATGGCAGCCAAATTTGTAATAGCCAAAACATGGAAAGAACCTACATGTCCGTTGACAAGTGAACGGATAAAGAAAATACATAGTATGTACATGCACAGAGGAATTTTTTTTTTTTTTTTTTTGTGGTACTTGGGCCTCTCACTGTTGTGGCCTCTCCCGCTGCGGAGCACAGGCTCCAGACGCGCAGGCTCAGCGGCCATGGCTCACGGGCCCAGCCGCTCCGCGGCACGTGGAATCTTCCCGGACCGGGGCACGAACCCGTGTCCCCTGCATTGGCAGGCGGACTCTCAACCACTGCGCCACCAGGGAAGCCCTGCACAGAGGAATATTATTCAGCCTTCAAACAAGAAGGAAGTCCTGCCGTTTGTGACAACATGGATGAACCTTGAGGACACCATGCTAAGTAAAATAAGCCGTTCACAGACAGATAGGGTGTGATTCCTACATCTCCTTCTTGTTGACAGCAGAGGCCAGTGAGCTGGGGCTAATTTGCACGGCTTCCTTGAAGCCTGTGTTGGAAAATCTGCTCGGATAAAGCAAAGCTTCCAATTGAGTTCGCACTGAGGGGCCGTAAAAATCACGCCCATTCTCTGTAAGAGGCAGCTTGAGGTTACTTTCCCAGAATCAGGAATCCAAGATGATGAAGCTCAGAGCTGACATAGTCCAGACAAAAATAGCCTTTATGTGCCAAGCTTCCTGTTTTCTTTGGAATCCACTTGCTGAAAACCATTACCTCCTCCCCAGCTGCCCCTTCCTCCTCCGTACCCACCCTGCCCCCCACCCAAGAGTTCACGTTTAATGACCCGAGACATTACCACCAAGCATTTCCAGTCAATTGGCTTTTGTAGCCAGTGAATGAATGGGACTTTCTCTGGCCTTCTCTCGCCTGAAAGGAGTCTTCCCCAGCCCATTGGAATGTGCCACACAGACCAGGAATTAAGCTCTTCTTTTCCTCTCAGTCCTTCCCTCATTCTTTCCAAGATCAGACACAAAGTGGTGGCCTTGCCCCTAATGGGGATTTTATATTCTTTCAGGTTTATTTCTAATCCTCTTACGGACCCATCTTCTCCTTCACATCAATGATTTGAACACGCTTTGAGATACTCGGCGAGGGGCCTTTGTTTCTTATTTCTTTACGCTGACACTTCATGGTTGTGCACGATCTCCACGCGGGTGTCCCTGTATCCCCCTAATGAAAGATTACAGCCTCCTTCGTCCTGTGGGTGTGGGAGGAGGTGTGGGGGGGGGAGATTGGGCCGGGCTGTCCTCCTGTCACGTGGAATGGGGGCGACAGAGGGGGGCCAGCTTCCCCGCGGGGTTGCTTGATGCCGGGGCAGTAGGTTACACTTCTCCCACCGCTCACGTGTGTTTTCTCCTCTTTTCCCACAGGCCGCACAGCCAAGCCCTGTGATCACCCTGGAGGCCCAGGTGAGTACCTTCCCGTGGTGTTTGTCACTTTCTCTGCACTGATGTCCCCGGACCAGCTCTCCAGGGAGCGTTCGTGCATCCTCTTGGCTCCAGGACTCAGGAAGGCTGGACGGACACATAAGGCCATCCTCCTGCCTGGTTGGGATATGTGCGTGCACCCACATGTGTACACACACCAGCTGATTGTTCATGAGTGTGTGTGCACACATGCATGTACCCAGGTTCTGAAAGCACCGTAGGAAGAACCAGACGTGTTTCTTTTGAGTTTTCTTCTGCCCTTTGCTTCCGCCCAGAAGTGGCGAGGAGGTGAATGCAGGGAGAGAGGGAAGGCAGAGAGGAGGCATGCAGTGGGGGATGGCTGCCCTTTCATGCCTTGGGTTTGGAGAACTTTCTCCCCGGGCAGTTAGTTGTGTGCTTGTGTCTGCTTGCGCGATGGGCCATTCTGAGGAATGTGAATCACGGTGGCATTTCTGTGCTGGGGGCGGTGGGGGGGCAGGTGACCAGTGGGCCTTGTAAGGAGGGAATGGCCCTTACTGTCTACTTTCTGCTTTCTGGGGAGCTAGGACAGAGGGGCAGCTGTGAGTCCAGCAGACCCAGGTAGAGCCCCAGAGCTGTGTCTTCTGGACCTGAGGGTCACTGAACCGCTCAGCCTCTGTCTCCCCATCTGGAATATTATTACCACAGGGATCGTGCCTGCCCTGCAGGGCTGTGTTGAGGAGGAAAGGACAGGGTGTCTGTGAAGTCATCAGTATGGCTAAGTGCTTGTGAGTGTTAGCTTTTTTTTTTTTAACATCTTTATGGTGGGAGTATAATTGCTTTACAGTGGTGTGTTTCTGCTGTTTAACAAGAATGTTAGCTTTTTAAACCAGTACAACGGTGCTTTTCTGACGGGACTTGAAGGGGGTGTATCTTTGGATGGATGGTTTCCTTAGCTCTGGTCAGACAGTAAACAGAGAAGCCAGGGTGGATGCCACCAGCGCCCCACAGCTAACGGCGTGTCAGGCGAACGCAGCTGAGCTTCTCAAGGCTTCTCGGTGACTCCTGCACATCCTGGGACCAGCTGCGCCCTGCTCTTCACCCTCATCGCGGGCATCTCTGCCCTGCCCCTCCTTCCTTCATCAGAAAGGCCGGACGTTGGGAGGACAGTGGATTCTCAGGGTTTCTTTGGGCTCTTGTGGCCTCTCACTACCCACCCCTGCTCTCCCCACACACACTTATGTCGGCTTCAGGGATGACCAGACAACAAAGCTGGCAGGAAGGAGCAGTGCGGGGGGACGTGGAGGGGATAAACGCCCAGTTTTTAGCCTCTGTTTGGCCATCCTCTGGTCTGGTTTTTGGCAGACTTCGGCCAGTCACCTGTCACCTCGGCCACGTTTGGCAAATGTGAATTGTACCTGTGCCAAGTCACCTAGAAACACATCCTCCCTGAAATGAACATATTTTACTTTCAGAAGTAATGTTAAATTAATACAGTTGAAAAGCTCCTTTGGGTGCCCGCTAAAATCACTGCAGCGTCCTCTCAGAAGTATGGGAGCCATACCTGGGGACACGTGTCTCTCTCCACGTATTTTGACAGAACGTCCAGGGCGGGTTTTTGAAATGCTGGCCCTTCTCTTCTTTATCAGTCTTTCCCCAGAAGGAAAAGTTACTAGACTCAGGGAGACCCCTGGGCAGATAGTCCGCACCCAGAATTCTGGAAGCCAAATCTGAGGTGGAGTGGCTGCAGCCTGGATGGTTCTGTCCTTTGCCCTGCTGTATCTTTCGCCCCACCAGCCCTTCAGAAGCTCCATGGGAAAGAACGGTCACATGCCCTGGCTCTGGGCTGTGACAGCTCACCCCTACCTACAGTGACCTCTCCCCGAGTCACATCCATCGGCCTGAGAGACCTGAGCCCTGGTCCGCACGCAGCCAGCTGTGGCACGTGGCCGGCTTTCTGGAGCTCGGTCTTTGGGGAGCCGTAGGATGCTGTTGTCTTTCCCCGAGTTCTGGTTTCCCCTGTTAAAGGGACGTTGGAACCCAACCAAAGTGCAGATGTTTTGTTTTTGTTTTTTTTGTAACTGTTGGCACAAGCCCGTGGCCAGATCTGACTTTGTGCTGGGCCTCAGCCCATCATGGGACTCAGGATGGGATCCTCTTCAGCTGCCTGCAGGCAGGTCAGATGAGAGGGGCAGGGAAAGGTTCTCTGGCAGGACATGGCACCCCAAATATTACCCATATAGCACAAGCGAGGTGGCAGATGTGGCCGAGCTTGGAAGAGCCAGCCATGCAGAGGTGAGTGGTAGATGTGCTCTGAGCCCTGGGTCAGTTCCCACTTCCTCCCCCTGTGCCCTTTGCTCCCAAGAAAGCCATCACCTGCTCCATCCTGGAGCACAGGTGCCACAGGTGGGCCTGAATTTGATATTTCACCGTGAGCCATGTCCGTACGTCATGCTTCAGTGGCGTGCCTGTCCAGGGTCCAGTCTGCATAGGGACGTTGGGCCAGCCAGGGACCCTTCCCTCCACGCGTTCCCTCTCTCCCTAGTCCTCACTGCATCAGCCCCCGCCCAGTGCTCAGTGCATCTGTCCCCGGGCAGCTGTTCTGAGTTGGAGGGGGCGTGGGATTGCTTGGCTGCTGAGGCCTCCTCTAGTGCTCTGCCACTGGCACAGCAAAGCTTCGCGTCTGTTGGCATCAGCAGGACTGTCTCTGCTTAACGGCCAGATTAATAGGATGAGGGCGTCGAGTAAGGTTTAAATCCCTGGTGTCAGCTTTCCCTCAGCAGGTTGCCCCTGGGCGGTACCGAGGACTCCCTGACTTGCAGTGGTGAATACTTTTCTAGTCTCCAGATGGTGGTTACCCGGGAACCAAGTGACCTAGAGATGAAAAAAAAAAGTGTCTGAAAGGAATTTGAATTTGGTTAGCGGCATCGTCAATGATCCCCGCTCTTACTGATATTTACCACTTGCCAAGAACTGGCTTCTCCCACTGAATCCTCAAGTGCCGTTATTACATAGGTCTTTTCATGATACCCGACTTCCAGATGAGGACCCTAAGGGTCAGAGAGGTTAAGTAACTTGCTCAAGGTCACACAGGACCTAACATTGGTGAGTGTCAGACTTGGGGCCATATGACATCAGAATCTACCTTCTCAACCTCTCTCCTATTTTTCCAGGGAAAAAAAAGTTGCCTAGAAAGATTTGCTGATGCTCAGAAAAGCTGGAGGGACGAGCCTGACGTATGCACCCCAGGCTCAATATAGATAAATAGATAGACGGATGGATAGTGCTTTGTACAAGTATCCGCAGATGTACTTAGGTAAGTAGGTAGAGGGATGATAGATAGATGATAGGTGGGTGGATATATAAATAAATAGATAATAATGCTTTACATGGTGAGTGATTCTTTGACCGATAGTTTTGCCACAAGGCTGGTAGGTAAAAGGGTTTAAGCCATGGACCCAATAGAAAATTTATTTTTAAAACAACACAAATGAAACATCTCCCCGTGCATCAGTAGTGTTTTGGTAAATATGAATGCTCCTTATTTGATTCTCATTGATCGCCACGATGGTTTATCATTTCTGAATTCACTCCAACTGGCAAGGCCTCTCGTTATTCAATTGTAGCTTCTGTCTCCCTTCCTGCCACCCCTTCCCCCAACATCTTCACTGTCAATTACTTCATGGCCTCTGCGCCAACAGTGAGATCCCCTGGGAGGTGTAATAAAGGAACTCTCAGGACCTGAAGATCAGGGGCATCAGGAGGAAAACTCCCGACTACTCAGCTTTCAACAACCAACCAGGAACTTGAATTTCTTTGATCAACCAGCCGTGGGTATAAGGGGAGGGAGTTACATTCACATTATTTAATGGTGATACTGGGGACATTGAAGATTGTGAACAGAACTCACAAAGAAAACGAGTAGTGGGTGGAAGGAAATCAGTCGGTGAGAAATTCATCCATTCATCCAGTTGGTTATTTAATAAATAGTCTGGGGTCCAGGAAGAGGCCAGGCCTTGATGCTAAAGGTACGGCAGTGAACAAGACAGAAGGTACCTTGCCCATGGAGCCCCCATTCTGCTTGGGGGAGTCAGACAGTGGATTTAAGAGCAAATAAATATGCCCATGGTTTCAGGGAGTAATGAGTGAACGAAAACAAGACCGGCGTGTCTGTAAGTGGGAGTGACCGGGCGCCACAAGGGGGAGAGTGTTCAGGGAAGTCTGTCTCTGGAGGTGAGTTTTAAGCTCAGGAGGTGACATCTGAGCTGAGAGCTTACAGTAGAAAGAGTTAACCAGGCAAAGGGATGGCAGTAATTGTGTTCTGAGAGTTTTGCATATTATATCTGGGTTCCTGTAACAATAATGCCAGTTCTCCGTAGAATCAATTAAAAGTTTTAGCTCCTTGGAGCTCCTTCAATGCCTCGGTGTCATTAGAACGTCAGGATGAATAAGGAATTACCTTATCAGACAAGGGTGAAGGGCAAGGACTGAGGGGGTGGGACAGAGGAAAAGGGGCTTAAATTTGGGACCATCCAGTCAAACTAACACCTGCGGTGAGCATTTTGACAGGGAACTTCTGACCTGAACAATGTTGTGCTGTGATAATGGGGCTTATGTGAGAAATCGGCTAATATTCATCATTAGCTAATTAGCTGGCTCCCTTTCAGCTGAACTGAAGCCTGAGTCTAAACCAGTGGTTCTCAACTTGGGGCAAGTTTACTACCTTCACACCTGAGGACATTTGGTGATGTCTGGAGACTTTTTTTTTTTTTTTTTTGGAGACATTTTTGATTGTTACAGCTTGGGGGCTGGGGAGTGCTACTGGCATCTAGTGGGTAGAGGCTAGGGACATTGCTAAACACCCTACCATGCATGCAGGAAAGAATTATCTGGCCCCAGATGTCAGTAGTGCCGAGGTTAAGAAGTGGTGGTGTAACCTCATGTGCTACGCGGACAGCTTATTTTACAAAGACAGTCCCAGCCACATAATTGTGACCGTGTAGAAGGGCGAAACTTGTTCCTTC